GGCTGGGGGGTAATGGAGCCTACAGGGGGGAACAGGGGCGAGGGTTGGGGAGGGAATAGGGGAGCCCTTGGGTGACAGGGTGGAGGAGGCTGAGGACACACAGCTGAGCAGCCAACATCACCACCACGACTCAGGACATCCCAGCACCCCTGAGGCTTCTCCTTGCCTTTCTGGGGTGGCCCCATCCGGCACCCCTAATAGTGTTTCCATCAGCAGAGGTTGGTTGGGTCTGCTCTAGAACTTCATGGAATGTCAGGATGGCTTTTTCCTCCCCACTTAATGCCAGGGGCCCTGTGACTTGGGGCCTTGAGAAGCCCAGCTGACTCCTCTCTGGGTCTGACTCACACCCTCCTCCCCCAGATCTTTGACATCTATGTGGTCACTGCTGACTACCTGCCCCTGGGGGCGGAACAGGATGCCATCTCGCTGCGGGAGGGCCAGTATGTAGAGGTTCTGGACTCAGCCCACCCTCTGCGCTGGCTTGTGCGCACTAAGCCCACCAAGTCCAGCCCCTCGAGACAGGGCTGGGTGTCCCCTGCCTATCTGGACAGGCGGCTCAAGGTACCTGGACTGCTTGGGGAGGGGGGGTGTTATCCTGGGGTTTTTGTCTCCCGACAAGTACGGGAACTTGACCCCCACGGGGCTGGGCCAGCGCCCAGGCCACCTACAACCTTCTCTGTTCCTCACCAGCTGTCGCCAGAGTGGGGGCCCACTGAGGCCCCCGAGTTCCCCAGGGAGGCAGTGTCTGAGGATGAGTACAAGATGCGGTTGAGGTGAGGAACCATGGTGGGGGCNGCCCCCGAGTTCCCCAGGGAGGCAGTGTCTGAGGATGAGTACAAGATGCGGTTGAGGTGAGGAACCATGGTGGGGGCATCTTTGCCTGGCAACGTCGTGTGGTGGGGCAACTTTGCAGGGGTGCCCCCTCTACTGTCTTGCTGGCCCCAGGCTGTGCATGAGGGGAGATGCCTATTTAGTATTTGAGCTCTTGGTCCCCTAATGCTCTGCCTCCAGCTCCATTATCCAGGAGCTGCTGACCTCTGAGCAGACTTTCGTGGGCAAGCTGCAGTTTCTGCAGAGCCACCACATGCAGCACCTGGACCGCTGCCCCCATGTGCCTGCCGCTGTGGCCAGCCAGAAGGCTGTCATCTTCCGCAACGTGCAGGACCTCAGCCGGTTCCACAACAGGTAGGCGGGGCCTGTGTGTGTGTATACACATGTACACACATGCAGACACATAGCACACACTGTACACACACAGGCATGCACACACAGACTCTCTCATGTGCACATGTACCCACAGGGCTGGGTCTCAAGGGGTCAGCAGGAACCAAGACAGACAAGAGAGAAACTATGCTGACTTGATTTACTCAGTGGCACACCACACCCTTGTACGAGGATATACACATCATCGGGAACATAGGTGTGTGCACCTGGCTTATCCATGGAAGTGCTTGCAGCATCCTACCTACTGCAGCCTCTGTACATAGGCACACACATGTATGTGCGCACTCACATGCCCTTACATGCATAATAGGTTACATGGGCACACGTGTATACATATACATAGCCACACGACATACACAGCACACAATGCACATCTACATATGTGTGCTTACCTGTTTACTTGTGCACACATGCCTGCACATGCCCAAGTGTACATGCACTTCCTTGCATGCATGCACATACATACACACATACCTGCACACGTGCACACCCTAAAATACCACACACACCTGTCCCCACACCCAGCATGTTCCCAGGAGCCACCAGGACTATGCCCTGGTGGGAGCCTGTTTCCTCCCAAACCTAGGGACTGGGGCTGGGCAGTCGGTCGTGAGCAGGGTCCTGACGCTGTCTCCTTCATGGCAGCTTCCTGCAGGAGCTGCAGAGCTGTGATACAGATGACGATGTGGCTATGTGCTTCATCAAGAACCAGGTGGCCTTTGAGAAGTATTTAGAATTCCTGGTGGGCCGAGTGCAGGCCGAGTCGGTGGTGGTCAGCACGGCTGTGCAGGAGTTCTACAAGGTTCCCCTATCCCCCAGACATTGCTGGCCCCCATGTCCAAGATAATCTTCCCTGACCCTGCCTGCCTCCCACCACCTG